GTCCAGCCCGTAGCTAGTCACTATACTGACTGAGCTATTCCGGCTCATCTCCACCTTCAGAGTACAACTGAGAAAATTCAGTAAATTCCCTCAGTTCTTCCATGTGATTCAAAGGATAATACCTAACAAATAGATCACACTGCTTGCCTCACACATAAGGCCTTTCAACAATCAACTAACAATTTTCACTCAATGTTACATAACCTAGTATAAGATACAAAATCATAAAAAGAAGCTCAAACTGACTTCAACTCAGCAGTATTGCAACCACTTCATATTCTGGAGGTAAAAAGTGAGCACTTTGGCCAAACCATTGATTATTCTGATGTCCTGTATTGTTCTGTTCTTCTTAGTGAATGCTATGACAATTTCAACTCACTCAATTCATAAAGCAAAGGCCTCCTTGTAAAGCTTATAGTTTTTCACCTGGCCAAGAAATACCCCATCTTTTATGGAACCAAACAATCCATTACCCTCAGCCAGTTCAATCCACTGCACACCCTCACATGCTATCTCTTTATCTTAAAGAAAACAATAACATTATCCTCCCCAGTAGTTTCTTTCCTTCAGGTTTTCTGACTAAAATTTTGTATGCATTTCTCACCATCCCCCTGAATGCTGCATGTCTTGCCTGTTTCAGCTTCCTTGATTCAGTCACTCTAATAATATCTGGCAAAGAGAACAAATTATGAAAAAATAAAATTCCTCATTATGTATTTTTCTCCATCCTCTTGCTACTTACCACATCTTATGTTACAGTTACTGCTATGCATGCACCAGTTTTACTGCTACTGTCAGACTAAAACATTTCTGAATTTGCAATGCAGAGACTAGAAGCTTGAGATAAGTGGTCAATGTTTTCAGTTCCAGTAACATGTAACAGCAGACATTCTCTCTCCTTGTGACAATAGACACTTCTAAATATAAACAGCATCCAATGTAATGATATAAAAGGCAGACACTATGAGTTCATCATGCACATACTTCGCTGGTGCATCCCGATGTATCTGAAATATCGTGACCAAACAGCTGAAAACGTAGTCATCCTGAGTCTGTACCGCATGAAAAACTTGGATTGGATGCTGCCTTCCCTCCAAATATAATATACGAGCATTGCCAAAATAATCACTGAAGTGATCAACATCCATTGTAGCAGACATTACTACAATCTGAAAAAAAAATTGAGAAAATTTCTTTTCCATACACCCATAAAATGGAATATTTTTTTTTGATTTCATTCCACGATGAATGGCAGGAGCAGTTAAAAGAGTAGCTATATGACCTAATGAAGATAACGACCTTTTAAATTAAAAATTCACTCCCATTTGGCTACACACCTTCCAATCACAACATAAGATTCCCTCATTACTCACAACTATAAACAACACTGCTAGGTATGGTGTTAGTCACTTTACCTTCAAGATTATGACAGTAAACTTCTTTGAAATGATGATAAACCAGCTTTTCATCATCAAGCAAAACCAAATTATCAACAAACCACCATCAAAGCCTAAAACTTTGGTTGTAGACAAAATATGAATATTTGAAAAATGGGCTCTGATATAAACCCTGCAAAATTATAAAATTTCATCTCAGAGGAAGTATAAACTTATGATCACCTAAAAGAAAGGAGAATGATTACGTTATCATTCCTGTAACAGGCCACCTAACCCCAAGAGTGAAAACCAAGATTCTTTATCTTTTACATTTATATACACATACAAACAAACAAAGATCTACTCTCTGACCTTCAAGGGCTTCAGATGTTTCTCTTTTCTAAGTGCTTGTGCCTGCTTCACAATTCCGAACAACACATCTGTATGCACGGTCCTCTCATGAGCTTCATCTAACACAATTATGCTGTATGACATTAATAATACATCTGGAAAAGACAAAAAAAAACCGCTGTAAAACAACCTGTTAAAACACTATAAACCTCAGTCAGGACAACCTCGTAACCACTGAATTCAAGATATATACCTCACCACTTTACAAATCTGCTTGTTCATGGGAATTTATAGTGAAGTCTGATCTAATACAGACTTACAGACATACACAAAGCAGTGACATGCCTGTAATTAACTGATTACATATGTTTATCAATCTTAGCTTCATACTACAAATCTTTAATGTTTTGAACTAAAATTAAAAACAAAGAGAATCTCACCTAACATTGCTTCTCGAAGTAACATGCCATCAGTTAGGTATTTTAATTTTGTGCGTTCTGATGTAACATCTTCAAACCTCACGGAGTAACCCACAGTAGCTCCTAGATCAGAATTCATTTCTTGTGATACACGCTGAGCCAGAGTTATGGCGGCTACACGCCGTGGCTGAAGAATAGAATTTACAAAATCATATAAGGTACAATCAAAACAATTCTGGTTAAGTGTGAATAACAGAATGAGCCAACATAAACTTGCCTGCATGCATGCTTGCCAGACAGGCAGATGACAAGAACTACAATAATGAATCAATTAACAAATCTAATCATCAAGGTAATTGTTTTGGTCTTCTTGAATCACCAGAAACCCCAACAAATAAATAACTAAATCTGCTCAGCAAATAGTCACTCAGCTGGTCAAGAAATTCCCTGTTCTCTACGAAATTCATTACCATGTTCATAACCGTCCACCACTGGATTCTACCCTCAGCCATATAAATCCAATCTATAACCTCACAGCCAATTTTTTAACCTTTAATTGTCATTATTTAAATTCCAGGCACACTGCTGGCTTCTACTGTCTTCGCCAGTTTCAACTGTCAGTGACAAAATGCAGAATTTAATTAACGAAGTTATATTTTTAAGGTAGAAAATTGAAATAAGAACAGATTATTAAGAATGAATTAATGTACCTGTAATACAAACATCTCAAATGACAATTCTTTATATATGCAGCTTAATTTACATTGCATTTGAATAACATGCATTTCTTTCAGACATTTCTATTATTTATTCCATGAAATAAAAGAAAAGTAATCATAGCATTAAAACTGAGCCAGAACTTATGAACACTCCTGTACATTATCTCAGAACTCACATGTTAATTATCATCATTGTTATGCAACCCCCCCCCCCCCCCCCCCCACTGAATTCAAGATATATACCTCACCACTTTACAAATCTGCTTGTTCATGGGAATTTATAGTGAAGTCTGATCTAATACAGACTTACAGACATACACAAAGCAGTGACATGCCTGTAATTAACTGATTACATATGTTTATCAATCTTAGCTTCATACTACAAATCTTTAATGTTTTGAACTAAAATTAAAAACAAAGAGAATCTCACCTAACATTGCTTCTCGAAGTAACATGCCATCAGTTAGGTATTTTAATTTTGTGCGTTCTGATGTAACATCTTCAAACCTCACGGAGTAACCCACAGTAGCTCCTAGATCAGAATTCATTTCTTGTGATACACGCTGAGCCAGAGTTATGGCGGCTACACGCCGTGGCTGAAGAATAGAATTTACAAAATCATATAAGGTACAATCAAAACAATTCTGGTTAAGTGTGAATAACAGAATGAGCCAACATAAACTTGCCTGCATGCATGCTTGCCAGACAGGCAGATGACAAGAACTACAATAATGAATCAATTAACAAATCTAATCATCAAGGTAATTGTTTTGGTCTTCTTGAATCACCAGAAACCCCAACAAATAAATAACTAAATCTGCTCAGCAAATAGTCACTCAGCTGGTCAAGAAATTCCCTGTTCTCTACGAAATTCATTACCATGTTCATAACCGTCCACCACTGGATTCTACCCTCAGCCATATAAATCCAATCTATAACCTCACAGCCAATTTTTTAACCTTTAATTGTCATTATTTAAATTCCAGGCACACTGCTGGCTTCTACTGTCTTCGCCAGTTTCAACTGTCAGTGACAAAATGCAGAATTTAATTAACGAAGTTATATTTTTAAGGTAGAAAATTGAAATAAGAACAGATTATTAAGAATGAATTAATGTACCTGTAATACAAACATCTCAAATGACAATTCTTTATATATGCAGCTTAATTTACATTGCATTTGAATAACATGCATTTCTTTCAGACATTTCTATTATTTATTCCATGAAATAAAAGAAAAGTAATCATAGCATTAAAACTGAGCCAGAACTTATGAACACTCCTGTACATTATCTCAGAACTCACATGTTAATTATCATCATTGTTATGCAACCCCCCCCCCCCTCAAGGACACTGTACTGTGTAAAGATGGTAATAATTAACATATAAGTTTATTCTACAACATGATGCTGTAATACAATCTTTTGCTTTCTCAGGTTGATGTAAGTCAGTATGCAAACTCTAAGAATACTGTTTCTTAAAAGCCAGAGTTTATATTCTGAGAAGAGAAACATTTTCAGTGCTTCTGTTTACAAAGCCTCCCAGTAGGAGACATTTCAGCAAACTGACACGTAACAGAAAAGTAAATTTACTTTGCCTTGTGAACCCAGAGTGCAATGCATCATTATGAATATCAGTGCATGCCAGCATATGGTGTTGTAGGACAGCAAGACTGGCTATGACACAGCAATTGCAAATATGACTGATAAAGGAACATATGCAGACTTGAAGATGATATGGCAGAGCAATAAAATCAATTTGAAACAAAAGTGAATTAGTGGTTTCAGGCATTATGGTAGTAAATTTCTTTATCAAAAGCTTATAACATGCAATATTATCAGTTCCTCAAAATGTAGATAAGCATACTCACCTGAGTGATACCAATAATCCCATCTCTAGCCAGTCGTACCTCATGCATAAATTGTGGAATCTGCGTTGTCTTACCACTGCCAGTCTCTCCAATAATAATTACTGTGGGATGTTTCAGAATCTCTGAAATGAGTCTGTAAATAAGTAACCTATGTGTATACTGTACATGTTATTTTGATAGCCTGTGTCTCCTTAATCAGAAAACTAGCAAGAGAGCCTGTTTTTGTGAGTATTTCTTACTGTGCTAAAATTATGATATTGCTTATTTTTTACATCACACATCTTAAACAAACTGTTACCTAGGTGTTTGTCAGATTAGTATTCTACAAACATTTTTATTGAACAACATTAGGATGAATGGGATGCCTATAAAAACTACAAAAAAACCTCTTTATCCTTGTCAACACTCACAACTGGAAGTGTCTTGGAAGCAATCAGATACCAAGTTATTGGTTAAGGCATTCCCAGATACCCACAGTTATATTATAAAATTCATCAACACAATAACAGAAGAACCTAAGCAAATGCACAACTGGCTGACCACAGGAATAATGTACCTTCTTCCTAAATCAGAGGATACAAAGAAACATTACTCAATATTCAAAACATTAGGCAGTGAAACAACATAAAGTCGGTACTCCCACATACCCAAGTTAGTACGTTAATATTAAGATATAACAACAGTACTGTGGAATGAAGGTGTACAAACTGATAGGGCGGCCACTTATTCTAAACTTTCATGCCAGGTATGGGTGAGTAATCAGCTGCACGCTGCGGCGCTTTAACCCCGATGAAAACGCCACTGCAACCCACTACATATGAAGCAACGTGCATTCCATAGCCGATCTGGTAGAGTGGTACGACGAGAAGTCAATGGCTTTGTCGGGAATCGAACCCGAGCCGGACACTCTATCAAACTACCATCCCAACACTAAAAACTTCACGTACCTGTTTCGTACACCATATACAGGAAGGAATTTTCTATGTTGAAGTAATGTTCCCGGTCCAGGCTGTGTAACTTTAGTTGGTCCTTGGTCAAGTCTTGGTTTCTTTGGACTACTACTGAAGTTTACAAAAGTTGTAGATTTCTTCGTTGGAAATTTAGAAAACATCTTTCCTACCACGAAATTATATTTGGAATCCATTTTAATTCCAAAATAATACTAAAAACCCCTTTACGCAATATAACCTCACTTCTCTCTACCTTCACGTTAACACATCAAAACGTTGCGCGTGCATCCTTGCGTATTTTGTTACGCATAATCACAGATGATGACCGTCCAGTTCGACAACATTGTTTCACGTCCCTATTAGCTTTACGTAACTCTGTTTCCATCTACATTTTCCTTTGAGTCATCATCAAATACTTCACTTACGTTTAAAAGTATAGATTTTAAAAAAACTGTGTATGTGATATTCAAAAGCAAAGAAATGGAAGAATTTTATACCATTTCATTTCACTGCACTGAAATAGTTGGCAGCAGTTGATTACTTTGACAAGTGCGTATAAACTCACAGAAAATAATAAAAATACAAACATTGTTAGGATTGTTTTGTCATTTGACGTTTGTAAAGTATGAGATTTAAAACTTCTCTTTTAAAGGAACCTAAACATTCAGATCTTGTAGGTTGTGTTGGGTGGAGCAATACTGAAGAAGTTTATTCTTGTGGGTTCGTTGCTTCAAATACTAATGTCGAAAACTATTTGCAATATTACTGAGGTATCCCTAGATGGCTTGATATATATTCGGTGTCCACTGTTTATATTCTAGAGATGACCATGCTATTTTGAAATGGAACCTGGTAACAAAAGAAACTGTTCAAGTGGCCAACCTGCCAAATGAATTATACCCTACAGATCTACATTGGTTTCCAAGAGGCCAGATAGGTAAAAAACAAGGACAGGATCTCCTTTTAGTGACGGCTGCTGATGGTATGTATGCAATCTCTCATTTGGAATAATTTTAACATGTTTTTTTTTCTTGGGCAAGTTTGTATCGATAGTACTTAATGGTACTTGACAGAAGAAAGACTCTCATATATTGGTAACATGAAATAGTTGGATAAAGCCCTTAAACCACGATTAAGTTACAGTAGTATTAAACTTTTTGAGAGCAGTACAGCACAGGAGTACCCCTTCTTTGGCTTGATGGTACCCAAACCATCAGCCCAGTGATTATCTTGTTCTTGGCAACAGTTCACAGTCTTGGTGATTCTTCCTCCAGGAGCCAGGCTTCAATGTACAGCCACTTGCCTGTGTCCTACCTGATCGTCACATGAGAGTCCCTATCCATTCCTTGGCTTTCTCCACTGTAGCATAGAAGACTGCAGCTTCAAAACATACTGCTTACAAAAATTCAAACTTGGGCTTTTTCTTTTTCACATACTTGCAGACAACTAAAAATGTGCATAATATTTGACATGATCTATAAATGAACAAAATTTCATGTTAGTTTTTGGTATGACAACACTGACAGTTCACTTGTAAGAAACAGTGTAATCTTTGTGGGAAATTATTTTATATTATGTTGTTGCACCATGCAGTCTGGTGGTAAACTTCTACCAAACTACATGGCACAACCCAGAAGACAGCCTTCTTCAGACTCATAGGCATTTCTTGAATTTAATATCCTCTTTCCTTGACATGAATCTCATATTTATTTATGTTGTCCTTGTACATTTAAATTTTGGAACATATTGATGACTTCAATAAATGGCTACAACACATACGGTTTGGCCTTTCATGGGCTGATTTTATGTTTTTTCTAAGCACAGTTGTATGTTTTATCATTAAGGGAAGTTTCATCTCATCAATAAGAATGGTAGAATTGAGAAAAGTGTTGATGCACACCAGGGAGCTGCTCTGACTGGGCGCTGGAGTTATGATGGTGCTGGGTTACTTACTGGTAAGGCATCTACAGTAAAGTCTACTTACAATATAGATTACATTATGGCCATTTCAAGTGATTTGAACCCCAATACTCCAAATATATCATTGTGGCTGGTGTCTGTTATAATATGTTTGGCTCTCCTGACCTTTGCGTGCCTTAGCAGTGATGAAGAATTCTGTTTCTGAGTTGGTGATATCTACAAAGCCAACCTGAAACCCCTAATAGTAGGATGATGGCTTACTGTAGCTTAACATGCACTTAAAACCAATTTGTTCCTAATATTCCCCAGGTTCATGAAAGTTCTAGAATTGTCAGAAGGGAAAGGCATAAAAAATGCTTTTCACTGGTCAAGAATCTGAAATTTTGGAGCAGAAATCCAGCTCTTGTAGACCAGCATACCTCCCCCTCTCCCTCATATAGTTATATCTGACTTCCTAAGGAGTTCTGATTGTTTTTATGTTTAAATAAATAGCATAATTTTATTTTTGTTTGCAAAAACATTATCATGAGATACTACAAATAATATTAAAGCATAAGCAAATTAGCAACAATTAACAAGGACAGCCTTAGTTGCAGCACCATCTGAGAGACCCTACACACAAGGGAAAACTGAAATCACTGTTAAAAGTCCCCAGAAAACAATCTAGACAAGAAATTGGCAAGGATTCTACATCTGGAGTGATGAGAGTTAATTCAATTTTCTTTTTGTATCAGCTGGTGAAGATGGCCAAGTTAAGATCTGGTCTCGAAGTGGAATGCTGCGCTCAACTATTGTGCAGTCAGACACACCAATTTACAGTGCTTCATGGGGACCTGACTCCAGTCAAGTTCTATACACTTATGGGAAAATGTTGGTTATAAAACATTTGACGCCAAACAGCAAACCAAATAAGGTTAGTCACAAATATAATTTTTAGTATTTCAAAAGCCAGGAACAATTTCACACAAAGGAGTGAGACTTCAATCCCAATAAATGCAAGTGTTTGGGTTATATGCATCTGTTGTATCTGTGCATAAATAGCTGCCTTACTTGGTCACCAGTTATCTGGAAAATGTATTGAAACTCAAGCATGTTTTTCTTACTGTATATTAGTCAAAATATGCATGAAACACTTCCATTATGGAAGAATCGACTATAACAGCCCAACTCCTTAGCCAACGTGCTCTTGCTGGTTTCTTGCCTGAGTAGTTTTGATATGTTAACACAGACACTGGTGTAGTTTTCTTACAACTTAATATTTTAGGGAGTTGCCTGTATGATGGAAACAAATGGCATGGCACTGTATTGGACTTGATTATAATGCTTAACAGTACATTTGTTGGCAGGTGATGACTAGTGGGGTCTTTGCTTTACCAGGGGGTTCCCTTTGAAGTTGAATAGGGAATTTCTGTTCCAAGGCTTTTTTGGGTGCAATGTGAGAGTGGCAGTATATGGGGGGGATGCTGTATAAGGGTTTGACTGTATCTTGTCATATCAAGTTTGTTACCTAATCTAAAATAATGTGGTTTGAATTTTGTGCAGATATGTGATTGCAGTGTAATTTGTATTTAAAGAGGGATTTTTTATTTTAGTGGAAGGCACATGATGGCCTCATATTGAAAGTTGCATGGAACCGAAGTAATGATCTCATCATATCTGGAGGCGAGGATTGTCGATACAGAGTAAGTTAATTTTTTAGAAACGTCAATTTATTTAATAAAATCTTCTTGGGCAATCAGCCGTGTTAACTGGTTACCGTAGTAAACCACGGTACTACTACGGTAACCATTAAACGCAGCTGATTGCCCGAAAAGATTTTATTGATTGTACTCACCACAAATCCTATGTCAATTCATTTGTCTGTAATTTGAAGAAATTAATTAATTAATTTCAATAGTGCTATGACTCTGTGATCAGAGTAGGGACAATGCACTTGTCTTTCATGCCAAACAAATCACTTTCAAATGGGCAAGAATATATGTGGATAGAAGAAATAATTTCCTCAATCTGTCACTTCTGACAAAGTTAGAATTTTGATACACCAAAAAGCAAGGTCAAGCAGTCCTTCCACACCATGGATTTCCTACATGCAAATGTGCAACTGTCAGAATATCACATAGTACAGTAAGGGTTCTGAATTCTGTTTGTCAGTATAAGGTGAGGATCACAGGATGAAATTTATGCCTGGCAAAAATCACTTGTGAGCCAGTGTAATATATTTCTTACCTTTCTATATTCCTTTGGACATAGCAAACTTGTACAGTGCTATCCTTATAGGTGTGGGACATCTATGGCAGGCAGTTGTACTCCAGTCAGCCCCATGATTACCCAATTACATCAGTTTCCTGGGCACCAAGTGGAGACTTGTTTGCTGTTGGTTCCTACAACACATTGAGACTTTGTGACAAGGCTGGGGTTAGTGACTAACTTTAACGTGCACTTTGAAAAGCAAGTATTTTTTCATGTCTGTCACTTTGCATGTACCAACATTGAAGGCTATGGGATTCATTTTAATGAGAATTTTGTATGCTAAACCTGCACTAAATTTTGTTGAACCTTTACATATTTCTTTTGAGTTTGATGGCAGGTATTAAAGGCTGAAACTATGTCTCTTATGAACTTACATTATTTATATCTGAATCCTTAGTGGTCACATTCTCTGGAGAAACCCTACACTGGCAGTATATTCAATATTGCATGGTCAAGTGATGGAACCCAAGTTGCTGGGGCTTGTGGCAATGGACATGTAATCTTTGCTCACATCATTGAACGGTATGTACAGTTCTTGAACTAGCATGTTTGCAACCTATCACCATACAATGTATATAGGTTCTAGATTAAATTACAGTGTGTTTGTTTGTTTACTGTTAATGGGTCATTCCTTCTGTCAGGCGATTGGAATGGAGGAATTATGAGGTGATAATGACCAGTCGCAGGAGTATCAGTGTACGGAATGTAAGCAATGATGCCTGGGAGAAACTGGAGTTTCCTGATCGTGTTATTAAGGTGGCGTTGGGCTATGGCCATCTGGTGGTGGTCACTCCATCACAGTGCCACATATACACTACAAAGAACTGGAACACTCCAGTCATATTTGACCTGCGTGAAGGTTCTGTCTGCATGCTACTTCTGGCTGAGAGGTTAGTTTCTTAGAGTAACTGCATATGGATGGGAGGTTAATATTAAAATTAAGTACAAAGGTGTGAGGATGCAGATTGGATTCATCTGACTCTGGATAGTCTTATGGTGCATTATTCTGAGCATCGCAGTGAACTTTTGGGTTCCATGAAACACAGGGTATTTCTTGAGTAGGTGAGTGACTATGTGCTTCTGGATGACTGCTTCATGTAGTTTATTGGTTAGTTATACTTTGTGACATACTTTCATTCCAATTGTCTTATTTATGTTTGGAACAGGCATTTCTTGCTGATGGAGAAGTCTAGCTTGAGTCTGTACAGTTATGAGGGTCGCTTGCTGTGCTCTCCAAGGTGGCAAGGGATGCAGCCAGAGATCGTGAACCCAGCATGTGTCAGTATCAGCTCTGATACCATAGCAGTGAGAGACCAAACAGATGAAAAGTGTATGTTAAAAATTAGTTATATTCAATAAAAGTTTTGTTAGGCATTAATTTTTGGTAATTAAAAACTTGAAAATTCTAACTTTAGCTATAATTGTACATTATCCTACACTTAACATCATGTGTTGCACAAGGCAGGGATATTTCTGGCACTAAGGGAACAGTTAGAAATCTATCAGCAAGTGAATGTGTGTAGATGTTCCTTGATAATAGTATACAAATTATGAAGTGACTAATTGAATCTGGCAGGTACTCACATTGGGAATTTACATTGGTAATAAAAATCTGCAATGATGCACATGAATTGGAAGATTCTAACAGGTTTTAGTAGGTTTATTTGGCACCATGACATCTGTGTCAAGATAGCTCCTAAATGTAGGTAATAACTGCTTCCATCCCCATTACTCTTTTTTTTCCCCTTGACATCTATGCCCATTTTGATAAGTGTTTGATGTGAAATTACAGAAAAGCAAAGAAAGAAGCCTTTCTGTTTTGGATTATGTATGTACATGTAAGTAAAGCTGCAAGTGTTTATCACACTGCTGTCAAGATGATAGTTATGTGATCCAGATTTCTCTGTTTCAGTGGTGCATTTGTTTGAACTGGGAACAGCACGGTCACTAGTTGATGCCCCCCCTATAAAACACAGAGGTGGTGTAGTTGAACTAGCCTTGAACCAAGCTGGGTCACCAGGCGAACGGCAGCTTGCTCTAGTCGACAGAAACAGAGACTTGTACCTTACCAACATAAGAGGCTCTGCCACTATGAAGAGACTGTGTAAATTGGGTTAGTTACATTTTGTTTTGAGATTCATATCACAGGCAGGAAAACTTCAGTCTTATTTCTTTCACTGTCAATGGCAAAAATATGCCCTCTGGCTAAATTTTACTGTTACAATTAGGGTATTAGTACAATATTTCAGTAATTTACTCAGAATCTTGAATTGATGACATTTGGGAGACATAGGCACAGATATGAGTTAGAATCCAGAATTTGTTAATACTTGTTCAAAACCATATTTCCAATTCCTAAATCAGAGGATGAGCTCACTTACCTACAAGCATGATGCAAAGTATCACATAACTGCTTCAGTCTGAATGATTCATCTCAAAGACCTAGTACTGTAGCTACCACTGGTAGCAAGATGGTTTGTCTGATCACATCTGTACATCACAGCATCTGAGAGGAAAGACAAAGATCTTGCTAGTGATACAGATCATCATTTATACATAACATTACTTGCTCTCCTAGTGATCTTAGAGATGTAAAAAACCATGGCCTCTTTCCTGATTATATAATTCAATATGCAAATATAATCCAACAATGTATATTACCAAAATTAAATAATAAAAATAAAGTAATGATTTTGAATCACCTAATTTCCATAAGAATGCCCTCAAATTTCAACTGTCAATGAAAGAAAAGAGTACAGACTGCCTAAAAGTTGCATTCACTACAATAAAATTAAAAGAGAAATGACTACATGGGTTTGGTTATACAAACAGAATGGATAGAAGAATTATATCAAGAAATGCATCAGAATTTAAATTAAAGGAAAGAGGCTTTTGACATTATCCAAAACAGGACGGTTCAGCCAGGTACTAGAAGACATCAGAAGAGCTCAAAAAGGAGAAATTGTAGGGCAACAGAAGATACTGGAGACTTTCTGTCCATCAACCAATATATAACACAGAGAGACTGTGCTAGAAGAAGAATAATAGGATCCAGTGGTAGGCTCTAGTGGACATGGGTTCTATAAAGGGCAGGGAATTTCTTTACTGATATAGCTGAGTGACTATGGCTTCACAAGTACAGGATTCCGCTCCATGGAGTTAGTTACTTCGTCCCTTACAAATGTGTGTATGAGTAAATGAATCTGAAGCATTAATCTCTTATCTTATTCTTCTCTATAAGGGGAAATAGATTATGTATACGCCTGTTCATCTTTTAGGGTCAATGATCCAGTCCCTGTGTTGGAACAGTGATACAAACATGTTAGCAGCAGTGCAAGACACCAACCTTATTGTCTGGTACTATCCAAATGTACTGTATGTGGATAAACGTTTAGTGAAGAAAACTGTTATCCATAAAGATGCCAGGTAAATTACTTTGGTATGATTTATTAAATGGATAACCCCAAATAAGAGTTAAATATAAATATGTAGTTTAATAACTGAATGTATGTTTCTCCCCTCTGATGAAAATTTGTGGATGAGTGAAAAAATATATCACTGAAATCATACATCCATGAGTATCCAGAAGTATGTCTGTTTTCTTGAATGTTACAGAAAAAAGAATCCCACAGATCATCAGGTGACTAAATGATTCGTGGTTTCAAAAGGTCATTCACAGTGTAATTTCCAACATGTCAGATGTAGTGGTCATATTTCTGTGACTTGGATATCAGAGAATTTATGAGGTGCAACATACCCCTTATGTTGCTATCATAGTGCATGTATGTGTGCACTCAATTGTTGTGAATAGGTTAATCTGTTAAAATTCTCCTTCCTACCTCATGTATCTGGACTATTTCATATAACGATAGAACATATTCCTGTCATTGATTGCCAACTATTGTATACAAACACATATGCAATACGTAAATTGTTTGTAGGGGTTCACCAGCGAAATGCGTGATGGTAGATTTCTTGTGTGCCTACATTATTTAAGTCATACTGTTAAAAAAATGATATATATGCGCGTGCATGAGTTCACATATAGCATACATTTGCTTATTCTATAAAAAGATAACTTCTTACAGTTTGTTCTAGTTACACAGTTGATATGTGTAGGTTTTTTAAATTCATTTCCTTTAAGAAATGAGTTATTAAAAAGAAACAAGTAGAAGTATGAACAAGCAGAAGAACAGAGTTAAGAGTTGGGGTTTCATGTATTACAATTTTAAAGGAAGAAGCTTGTGGAATTATAATATTTAATTTGTACATACCTTTTAATTCCAGTGAATTTGGTAAAAATCCTGTGGTGGTATCATTTGATGGAAATCATCTGGGTGTAAGACGTTTGGATGGTTCTCTTGTGACCAGCAGTGTATCACCATTTCATTCTGTTCTTCATGGCTATGCAACTTCCTCTCGGTGGGATGATGCACTGCGTCTCTGTAGGTTTATCAAGGTATTTACAAGGTTTAAAGTGTCCATGAATTGGCAAGACATACATTAAATATGCAAGTCTGAGTTTTAGTAGGGAACTTTTTTAATGCACGTTATATTTGTGCAAGTATTCGTTTAAACTGCAATTGTATATTATCAACAAAATCTCTTAAATTTTCTACATGGAATTGATACGAAAATCAGTTGAAAAATTAATTATGATATTCGAAACAGAATGTATAATTACTGTTTGTCTGAAAAGCATACACATAGTGTATTTTCTCCGTACAATTAAAAATCACTTAACTTTAGGTTCAAAATTGTTAACACATCTAGCATAAATAAGCGATTGCATTTGCAACTTACACACATTAGAACAAAACAATAAATCATAGCAATCAAGTACATTATTAATTAATTTTAAGTCAAAAACTTAGAACCCTTACTTGTATAAATGATGGATTGTTATGTTACAGATTTCATTGTAATAACTAGGAACTAAAAACTAGCTGAATGTTTTGGGAATACTGAGTTACTGTTTCAGGACTCCACCTTATGGGCATGTCTTGCAGCCATGGCAACACATGCAAAAGACATGACTACTGCAGAGGAAGCTTATGCGGCTATTGACGAGACCGACAAAGTTACTTACATACAACACATTAAGGTGATATTCTATATAGAAACTTGCTTTATTTCACCCATTAATGCCCAGTAGCATATTTATGGTACAGGATATTTTTAAAGAAATTTCTGGATGAAGATGTCTGTCTTCTCTGTGAAAATCTCAAATCATAAGACTTATGTTCTATAGATACGACTCTGGTCGTTAATGATATCAACTAGCATGCAACAGCATTACTGATTCACAGTTGACTTGCTGTAATTGCTCAGAATCTATTTGCTAACATGACTTAAGACATTTATCACAAATCAACAAACAGCCTAAAGCAAATTATTAAAGTCTAGCAGAACAGCCCTTTGAAATCAACAGGAAATTGAAAATATTAATACAGGCCTCATATTTGTTATGCCTAGTTGCAGATAAAGTTACTCCTTACTATTATAACAGTAAAACTCATTTCTTGCCATGAATCGATATAATAAGTCATTCTTTAGAATTAACAAATCAATAAATATTTACAGTTCAAGAAGAATGAGATATTACAAATTGGTGAAGGGAAAAGTAGTGGGGCAAAATAATTACCAGCTTCCACATGGTATTATGCACACAGTATGTATATGTATAGTGCATGCTGTGACATAAAATAGACCACAAACATGTGGTACAAACTGTAAAAATTATATTATCTTCATTTCTTATTTCAGAAGCGAATGTTTGAAAATGTCTTTGTAGCAACAGCCTTTTGTAAAAGTGTCTGCAGTTTCCTTTAAAGAGGTATTGGCTTTCTCAGTTAATATACCTTTTATTGCTACAGGAAATTCCGCAACATGCAGCACAGTTAGCAGAGATGGCGCTACTTGGTGGCAATGTGCAAGATGCAGAGAGCATATTACTACAGAATGGACTGGTGTTTCGATCCATTATCACTAATTTGAATTTACACAATTGGAACAGGTAACACACCAACTAAATAACTAATTCTGTTAACAGAACCAGAATGTTCAATACTGTTGTAATAGTATCATAAATATAAAAGTATTTTTCCTTCCAAATAGTACTCATATGACTAGTGGGTGGAAGAAGTGGGCAGATCCAGTCAGAGAAACGGTACTGCATGGTACCGTTCATACTGCCACTTTATGTCGCCATAATGTTGAATGAATGAATTAGAGTAACATGTGGATGTCTGATGTGTAACCAGTGGCAGGGATATTGAACACTTGTAAATAAATCTTAACAAATGTTTTCTAAGAAACTGTGTATTTGGTGACAATAAATTGTCAAAGTTGTGCATCTTATTTTGTTGTATCATAGAGGAAATTACAGAGTACAAAAGAAAAGTTACTCTTGGCAAGGCAAACCCAAGAAGATTATTAATTTTTTCTGTTGTGAAAGTCAGGCACAAGATGTTTCAAAAGTTGGTACATTATAGGAAACATTTTAAATCATTTCTTAATGGTGCATTGTAGAAAACCATATTTATTTTGGATTCCCATTGAATTTCAACAAGCATTGCTAATACATATTTAAAGTATATAAAGGATATAAAACTGCCTATTTATAAGCCTCAAGACTATACTTACATCATCATCAGAAGGGCTGAAAGGAAAGAGCAAATAAGCACATGCAATGAAACAAAGTTCACTTTTCACTGGGCAAATGGGAAAGATGAACATACACAATGGCAATTTATTTATATCACATTATGTGTTTTGAATGTTGCAGAGCATTGGAACTAGCCATTAAGCACAAAACACATGTAGACACAGTTCTCTTCTTTCGCAAAAAGTATCTGGATGCATTTGACAAGCCAGAAACAAATCAGAAATTTTTACAGTTTAAAGATGAGGTAAGAATCCTTTATAGACCATGAGATTAGTACTCTCATAATTGCTGAAGATCCTAAAAGATTGGAGTGAGGATAGCGAGTCTCTGGGTGGAGATTTAAATTCGGTACCTTCTAAATACAGAAGAAATCACAAACACTCAGTTGTGGCAATCAGTGTAAGTTTTTATGAAATCTAACTTTCTCCATCAGACACGCTTTGTCATGAGGACTCATTACCATAATTTGTTTTCCAGAATCTTCAGTTTTTACAGGAATTATTTTTGATTAATAAAACTGTATTTGTGAATACTGCTCCACCATCTTTTAGGGATTAGATAGTAAGTAAGTCTCAATGTGAACAATGCCTTCATGAAATGCACCTGTTTTCATCAGTAAATAAACTAAAATACCCAAATTGATTGTTTCTAGGTTTAAAGTTAATTCAGCTACAGTGATCAACATTAGTGCAACTATCAGTATATTAAAGAAATTAAACCAAAACTTTAAGACTAAATGACAAGTAACTTATCCTAAATTTGAAAATGGTATTTCCTACACACAGAGTGTAATTAAAGTAGGAGGCTTTAAGAGACTCATACTACCACTTTAATTCCTATATGTACTGTTAATGTGTATTTATCTTTTGTGTAGGTGGAACTAGATGCAGAAAAAATAGCACATAAGATACAAATGGAATATCAAAGGGAGTTATAAGAAGATGAAGTTCCAGAAAGATACAACACAAGTAAACAGCACATTATAATGTAATATTATATACTGCACATAAAAGACTACCATTTTGCACTGTACACTGAAAATCACTTTCTCAAAAAGAAAAATAAAGAAATAACACCATATAAACTAACTAACCTACTTTCAGCAGGGTGCTTCTTGAGAAGCAAATATTTACCTGGCTAATCAAGAAATGCCCTGCCTTTTATGGAACTTTAAGAAGCATCATTGTTTTTTCCTAACCTGAGCCAGATGAATCCAGCCCACACCCTCTTACATATTTCTTTCTATTCTAATATGACAATTTACAGCTTCACAGTGAGCAAACCTAATTGCCTTCTTAGGCCATAATCCACATGGTGATGAAAAGAAACCAATGTTTCAGGAACCATTTAATCCCCATCTTCAGGTATGATTGGTGTCTTTTGACCCCTTAATTCAGCTGATGGCCTCAGAGGATTTTATTCGTGTTAATATTATCCTCTTATCCATTCCTTGGTCTTCAAAGTCATATCTTCCCTTCAGGATTCTAACCTATGCATTTCTTATCTCCCATGGGTCCTAAATGTCTTACTGACCTCATCCTCCTTTATGTGATTATCTCAATATTTGTTAAAGAGCCAAACTATGAAATGTCACATTATGCAGTTTTCTCCAATCTCCTGTTATTTCTTCCCTCTTGGGTTGAAATATCCTCAGGTCATATACATTTGTGGTTCCTAACCTTTCCTGATTCACAAAGCAGGATTGCAACCCAATCTACCTCATAATTTGCAGTACAAATAATGATAAATTAAATTATTACTAGCACATCTAAATATGATAATTTTCAATTAGCTGACCTTACCTTGCACAAGAGGGGAGTAAATGAATTATTATTAAAGAAACTTCAGTAAGTACTTATAGTTAATAACATGTATTGCCAATGTTAGCATTAATGTTCCTTAACCCTCATACAGACTTAAAATGAATCAAGTTGTCAGAAATCAACCATACCTTCGAGTCAGTAAAAGGAGAGAAAAGTAATCTTAACTTACTTACCTAATGTGGCCTCTGTGCTTGTTTCCGTGAGCAATGTTTATCCAGATAAGGTTCAGTGTTGCTTAATGCGACATGAAGTAATGCTCAACCATCCATTCTGTTTTGCCAAAAATGCTCCTTTACAGATGGACGTAGATGGGGATGGAAGCAGCACTTTAATTGCAATTTCACTTCAACACGCTCGGGCGAAGGCAGGCAGGCTGGCTTGTTTCATTTTAATGAAGCTTCTGTCACATTAAAGTTTAGCAACTTTTCTTCTTGGATCAGTGTTAGGCATGTCCCTGTTCTTCTTCTTTATTACGCTGTCTCCTTTACAGGAGGTTGGCAACATATTATGAACAGGATCCTTCCATCCTTTTCTCGGACTGGGACCTGTTCATATATGTTTTTTAGGCAGGTGATACAGAAGTGGTTTGTCATTGCCTTCTGTGTGTATGGAGTAATTGTTGGGATGCCACAGAGAAACTGGGGAATCACCGGAGGAAAACTTTGTGTTGCCTAGATCACAGCCTTGCCCAACACAAGTTATAAATTCGGGCACCGCCGGGAATCGAACCTGGGACCCCAGGATTACAAGGATGTCCCTGTTATTCATGAAGACGACTGCTGGATACATACACATTTTTATGCCATAAAATAAATGAAAAAAATATGCCAGAACTATAAATTTAACAAACATAATTTACTGAACAATACAGAAGACATTGGAAAGAAATGTTGAAGGATGAGCTCTGACAATAGGTCTAACAGTGGGAAGGATGATGATTATATCAGTTACTTATTTTTATTGTATTATGTCTGTACAACCAGATCTTACATATTTAATTATTAATGTATGCTGCATGTATTCATTCAATGTACATAGTTCATTGCCCATGAATGAACTGTACAAAGGTTAAAATCCACAATCACGAAATATGCTACAAGTACAAGTACTTGAATATCTTCTACAGAGAAAAATGTAAACAATTAAAATTCAACAATCATTAGTGTACAATGTTTCAACATTTAATATTAAAGCATTTGTCTTGATGAAACATATCAATCTTACCTTTCCCAGTATCCCACTGAAAGTCACAGGAAAAAATTTGCTAAATCAACTGTTAGTTTTTGTGGGGTAGGGGAACTGTAATGGTTGAAACCAAAAGTTAGATAAACCTGTATTGTTTGCACTTTTATCACAGTAATTGATAAATCCTTTTTTCTTTTAATTCACATATGAAACATTCACCACTTTTTATGTGAACCACCTAGTAACTGAAATATCTTGTAACTGCATCTTAAGGATTTATACTATTACTTACTCATATGATAGTCAATTACTATATTTACATTAGTGTTAAACTTAACTAACACTTTTTTTCAGACATTCACAAAAGAAACAACGCATTGGCACTTTCTGGGGGCAGAATGTGGCATATTAGTTGGGTTATCACATGCATACAGTAATACTGGAAAGTGATTCATTATTTCACAAGACACAAGTATCACCAGTTTGCAGCCAGTTCTAGCTACCCACCATGACACAGAAGTGAGCCCACAATCTGCTACATCAGTAATAAAGACTACTGAAGCCATTTCAACCATACTCTAGGAAGACAAAGTCAGTCATTTTAATAGGAAGAGAGGAATTTAATTAAAATGTAAACTACATGGCAATAATGAAGTACAGTGTAGGTGGCTGCATGAGAAGAAAATACATTTATCTTCTGCCACATTCTGTAATGAATCAAAATATTCTTCTACTCATAATTTATAAATGCAAGGACTATTTCAGTTGAAAATATTCAAACTTAAATTTACAATGCCAATGTGGATACTGTTTATGCATTATGGCACTACGTATATGTATGCTGTATTGACAACTTCCCCTTGTAGTGGAGACAGTTCAGATATCTGAAACATTGGCAATACCACCTACATCTATGTAGTGCTATCACCCAGAAATCCTACATCCAATGCTGAGCATGCTATACAAATATTACTGTATTTCCTTGAATTTAGGGCACACTCTTTTCACATTTCAAATTAATTAAACCAGGGTGTCTTACATTTGATGGCATCTAAGAATGTTGAAAAATTATATTGCATAACTAAAGTACAATAAAAATATTCATGTCCATATCACAAAGTTAACAACAAAGAAGATTCTGAAAGTATTAATGCAAAGATGTTTTGTTTGAATATTGAAAATTCCTATTATATGATTTTTTTCTGAAAACATTACTAAATCAAGGGTGTGTCTTACAATTGAGGAAATACAGTATTCTTCATGAAGAGGCATTTTCTGAGAAATTCCATTTCTGCTGACACATGAAGATAATACTATATATATGTACCCCTCTATAATATTTGTAATATGTTTTTCTACATATACCAGCGCCTTTCCTGTAACTTAACATTGCAGAGTGCGCTCATCTTCTGCATCACGCTAGCAAACCAAACACTGAAGGGCACAGAGGAGAGAGGAATATCAACAATACAATGATGTTCATTTAATCTGCACTTCTGTTGCTCTCTACAAATCCTCCCTCAACTTGTCAATATTTCACAGAAATACATTATATAATGACCAAATAAAAATGATATACTGAGCGTATTTGTACTCTTCATTTGGAATTACTAACAGACAAAATAATATTTCTTGCTTTTTTACTGATACAAATGTGATATGAAAATAATCAGAATATTTTTATTACATATATTTTCTATTATTTGATGACAGCTGAAAATTAGTAAATAAAAAATCATCTGCATATATTTCAGTGAAACTCAAGTTCAGTATGAAACAGTGACATGAGGTGCTTGTTATTCTTATAGGTCTTGCTATGAAAGAGGAAAGGAATAAAGAGGGGAACGAACTATAATTCCACAACAAGGAAGAGCACGTCAACAATTTGCTAACACTTGTGATCTCAACTTGTAAATGTTGGTTAACAACTCCTCATTTCAAAAACAAATGTCACAGATTCTAGAACTGCAGTCAGATAGTAGCACATATGGATTCAAGACTACCAAACAATTATATATAGATTTCTATATATATATTTATATGTATATACATATCTAAAAAAATACATTCTTGTAATCAAGAAAAAATATGGACAAGTCTTGCTAAAAGTATCCACTCTACATGTACAATATATACACACTCATCCAGTTAGCATTCTAATAGTGGCAGAGGGCAAAAATCAACAAATATAAATATGGAAGTTAAACCACTGGTTCATTATTTTCATTCAGTGGGACAGTTAACAGAAAGAAATTCTAATAACATGTTCAGTATAAAAGATTTAGTGGTAATAACTACTGAACACAATTTTCACACACAGTATATATCCTTCCAGACTTTCAGAATTCCATAAAACTGCACCAACTTTATGATATGTGACCTAGCTAAGTATGGCAGCAGACAGTTAATAAAGAAATTCATACTGTGAGTCTACGTAAGGTGACTGATAATGACTGTGTACTATAGTACCAGGAAAATGATCTTCTACTTGACTAAACTAAAGATACATTACTGGTGCTGGAGGAAGTCTACAACATACATTAAATTAGCTGCAACACTATATTTATTCTTACAATTCACACCTGTTAAAGTAGGAAGTCTTTTGTGTCATCAAGGAAATATTTTTGCATTATCTCAAACAGCAACAGCTTCTGAATGTCCTTGTAAAAGAAAAAAGGCAGCAAATTATGCTTATACAAATTTTGTAAGAACAAAAAGCAATTAAATATTCTCATAATAATTAAATTGCACTCGTGTATATAACAAAAGTGAGCAGAGAAGCAATAGAACATAGTTGCTGCTTCTCTATCGTGGATTTACCAAAGGGAAGGTAAGATTAATTTTCCTATTTCTGAACTTAAAAGTGAATGTCACTCTGAATTCAAATCATACAAATTGTTTGGGGTTCTCACAGAGGTGAAGATACTGACAGCAGATATTCTGGGTTTTGACACTGCGTCGACTTGTAGGTGGGTACCAACATTTCACAGCAACACAACACTATTTTTCAGATGTTTCTTTGAAACACTGGTACCCACCTACAAATCTGCATGGTGTCACAACCCACAAGACCACCGACA